TATATATATATATATGAGAAAATACTGATATTCTGAGGACCTGGTAGCTACCCGTTTCTCCTCCTCCAAACAAAAAAAGAACATACAGCTTAAAGCCAGTAAACTTAGATTTGAGTCATTAGTTCTTGCACACTCAGCAGTGAGGCACTGGATAAGTCCCTCAGTTAGCCTTTCTGAGGCACAGTTTCCTCATCCATAAAATGGAATGACTTAGCCCCCTTGAAAGTTGGGGTGATACATTAATACTGTCTCACAACAATGTAGTAAGAATTAGGGAGAATATGTAAAAGTTGTTTGAAAGTTGTAAATGTTATCTTCCTAGCCATAGTATGAAATCCATTTATTTACCACTTATTTATTCAGCATCTAGTAAAAATTAATTTTTTAAATGTTCCTTACTACATGCTAATCACTTAGTTTCTGTCAAACTTGCTTTCTTACATCCAAACGGTGTTCTACGGTGTTCTTAGTGGCTAGATTGACAGTTAATCTGCAATTTCTACGCAATTTAGGTTTACCTGGAGATGGGGTAGTTGCTACTTTGTTCATGGTAGTTGTCTATTTTTTTCTACATTTGTAGGCTTCATGTGCAAAATGGCCATACATTTCCTTTTTATGATCAGTGATTCGAAAATGGAAAGGGCACTAATTCTCTGGGTAAAAGTCACCAAGTTATGGGCTTAGTTGCTTTTGTACTGGTGGGTTTATTCCAAGTGTGAAAGAAGAAAATAAATAAATGTAATCAAGAACCTTAAAACATAATTCATTCTTTAAAAGTATATATGCATGGTGGAATACTATTCAGCAGTCAAAAAGATAAACTCATGCCATTCACAGCAGCATGGATGGGCCTGGAAGGGATTATGCTCAGTGAAATAAGACAGAAGGAAGAAGAAAAATAGCACATGGTCTCACTTATAGGAGGACTGTAAGGGAACCAAATAAGAGACCGGGGGAAAATTAATTATAATAAATTAAAAAACAAAATGAACAGGCAACTATTAATCAGAGACTGCAGGGGAGGGGAAGGATCATAGCAGGGGAGGAAGTATGTTCTTATACAGAGGACTATGGTGATGGTGCATGGGTGGTGAAAATTTTGCAGGGACTACCCCTAATTAGGGAAAGCGTGCAGTGTACAGAAAGGAAGACTGATGTAAAATATATATAAAATCAAATGAAATTTTTAAAAGTTTTGTTATTTAATGAAAAGATTATTCGTTCCACTTTTTCATGACTTTGCATATGCTACATTTTAGACAGGAAATGCCGATGTACCTGACTATAGTTTACTCAAGAAACAAGACCTCGTTCCAGGCACAGGCTATCGCTTCAGGGTTGCTGCCATTAATGGCTGTGGAATAGGCCCTTTCAGCAAAATCAGCGAATTTAAAACTTGCATTCCCGGGTTTCCTGGAGCTCCTTCTGCTGTCAGAATTTCAAAGGTGAGCTGTCAACAGTTGGGGGTGATTTATATTATTGAAATTTAGTATATGAAGTAAAACTGTCAGCTGAGAGTCTTAGTATCTGATGAAAACCTAAAAAGAATGGATTAAAAGTTTTTAAAATATTTTTTTGCTAATCATTCATGATATTTTTAGGGACCAAACTTCACGTAGAATTAAAGCACTCAAATGAAAGTTGTCAGGGAAATCATGTAGTGTATTTCTTAAAATTAACTTTGTGTTGTCACACACCCACACATGAAATTGCATTATTATGTATTCTATCTTCATGCCCCACTCCTAGAGAAGAAAGGCTTTCCTTTCATGTAAACATATTGCAGGCAGAAATTTATGCATACTTATATTTTTGAAAACAGGCCATGAATTAGGCATTGTTGATGCAAATAAGGTATATTTTTTAAAATAACAATAAAAATTAGACTATCCAGTGCTATCATCTTAGTGAATAGCAACATTCTGTACTCTAACGATAGACTCAGCATAAGTGATGTTAGAGGAAGCTTGAAACTTTTCCCATTTTTTTTCATTCTCCCCTTCAAGAATGTAGAGGGTATCCACCTTTCCTGGGAACCTCCAACTTCACCTTCCGGAAATATTTTGGAATATTCAGCTTACTTGGCTATTCGCACAGCACAAATACAGGATAATCCAAGTCAGCTTGTGTTCATGAGGATTTATTGTGGTCTTAAGACATCGTGTATAGTAACTGCTGGGCAACTTGCAAATGCACATATTGATTATACATCCAGACCGGCCATTGTGTTCAGGATATCAGCAAAGAATGAGAAGGGATATGGACCAGCTACGCAAGTTCGGTGGCTTCAAGGTAACAATAAGAAAGCACCTTTAAATTGAAATTTTTTTTTTACTGAAGCATAAATAATGATGATTATTTATTAGTAACTGGTTATGAAGATTTGTCACTTAAAAAGAGTATTCTCTGTATTTCTAGTACTTATGAATTTGAGTTTGTAAGTTGTTCTTTAAATGTATTTGCTCAATTCTAGATCCAAATAAAAATAGAAAAGAAGCAAAGACTCTCTGAAAATTAGTATATGGACTCTTCCTTATAGTTACAGCTTTTTTATAAAGGAAAATAGTAAAAATTAAGATAAAAGCTAGGAGGTTTTTATTACCCAATATCTTTTATAAAGGCCATTAGCCCAGTCACCCCAGAGTGACTGAGGTGGCTCTAGCAACTGGCTGTCGTGCGTGTGCTGCCCCATGTAGTAAATGTTCTCTCTGTGTAAGTGGCCTGTCTTTGAGTGTTTGTTCCCTTTAACTTAGCTCTGTATGAGCAGTGGTCCTCTAACAACTTACCTTCTGTATAATATTTGTGATACTTTAATAGCTGGTTGGTTCCTTTGTTTTATCTACAGTTAGCACAAAACCTAAGAAAATAAAAAATAGGCAAGTTTAGAAACCCTACTTTTGAATTTTTATTATTTTCCAAAAAACATGGCAAAGTACAAAAAGCATAATAGACTTTCCTGATTGTTACCAGGCTGATATATTGGAATATATTTTTGGCCCAAGCACTTAACTTATCTGACCCTCATTTTGCTTAGATGAGGGAGTTAAAAGAATTTGCCTTTGAGGCCCTGCTCAGCACTAAAATTTTGCATTTTCATTAGAAATGAAATATATTCCCAAACATATAGCATTTCTTTTAATAGCTCTAACTTTGCTTTCACTGAAATTGAAACATTAATAATTTAAAATGAAAAATTTATATGTCCTCCTATTGCAGAAAGAAAAGCACCTTAACAGGACACAAATTTTGAAATAGTGTTTTGAGACATTTGTAAGATTTTTGTAAATGCTCTAAATGTTTTATTTTTGCATCGTTTTTACCTCAAACTTGTATAAACTTTTTTACAACTGAAATATAGCATTAGACAGCTTACTCAGGTTCCATTACAACCTTAAAGACGCAGGCAGATAGGCGTTCTGTACACTCTGCTACAGATAGCTTGTTTTAAATCTAGGAGTTTCCTGATCCCACTGCCTGTTAGTGTGGAATGCACATATGAGCAATAACTGCGGTCAAGGTAGTGCACACCCCGAGCTCAGTAACAGCAGGGGCACAGGTCTCCTAGACCCCGTGTCCTTATTTATGCCAGTTGAGGTTGACTGAGTAGCTGTGCCCTCAAGCATCATGTATAATACCCCTAGCAAAGATGGATCTAATTGTGCAGAGTTGATATAAATGTAAGTTCCAGTTACTAATTTAAAGTGTATAGAATATTTTAATATATAATTTTGTAAAGAACTGGGATTTTTATACTACAGTGTTTGTAATTAATATGTCTCACTAATTAAGTTTCTTTTGAAGAAAATATGCAAACTATTAGACACATAATGAGTGATTTCCAAACTCTAAAGGTAAAATAAATGCACTACTATGGTGTTGTTAGAATACCTTTTATGTGGCTGTATGAATCCTTAATCTTTAAGTGTGTATTTTACAAACAATGTTTACAAGGAGCTTCTCTGGTTGGTTATCTCAGCACCTCCCTTGGTGAAAGCCTCCTTCTGCATTTATTTAACTCATATATGTGTTGCTTTCGACATATGCTTGCTTTTTGCACTAGTAGAATTTTAACTTACCTCCGTATTATGTTTGTAATCATTTATATAGCTCCCATAATATGTCTGACATAGGCTAAACAAATACTTAACCAAAGCTGAAATTTAAATAAATGGTAAGCAATTTTGCACATATTAAATGCTAGGGTTTGTTTTGTATATGTGTATATTTAGTTATAAAAAGAATAAGAATGGAAAGGTATAGTAAGTATATGTTTCAAGCCCAGTTGTTTTTATCTGTTTGCTTTACTTGATTAAATTTGACGTTTAACCCTACATTCTTTGCATTGATTAACAATTTGCTTCTTGAAGCACTGCTCTTAATGACAAGGATTAAGTTGACCTTAAAGCGGTAGTAGCATGTTGGTTTGAATGTGTTCATTTACATCTGTTTGGTAGTTGGTTCAGTTTACTTAAATGCCTTTACTGTTCTAGAGCAGGAGATGAATCTGAACCTGTGGCTCAAACATAGGTCTTCTTAGAGAGAAAGTTAGTTTTTCTGTACCAAGGGATTTGTTAAAATGTTTTTTACATTAAGAATTAGCCCAGATTTTGTTCATCATTTTTTGGCATTGATACATTAACCACCAGTCACATTGATCTGATATATGCCACTAAGTAATCTCTGTAGCATTGACATTATTAGTTAATAAGAGATCCTTGGGCTGTGTGTTCATGAATAGCATTGAGTGGAGTAGATAGAGAAGTGCATTTAGCTTCTTATGATTTGCACATTTTCTATGCGTAAATCCCTTTGTTTAGCAGTGATTATGGTCGTGCAGCTATCTTTCATAAAAGGATTTACCCTGAGGTAAATTACTTTCTTTATTCCTCGCAGCCAGATAACCATTTCAGATAGATAAGCCTTTTGTATAGTCCCCATCCTCTTCCAGGGCCCTGCGACTTTGGTTCACATATGTAATAAAAAGACCTTGATGTTGCATGCTCCTAGAATTGCTTTCTAAAATATTGTCTTGGCTTTATTTTCAGTTAGTGAATTATTTGGCAATTTAACTAGAAATAGGGTATTATAAACTCATTTTATCTACATTTTTCAGTAAAGCTAACATCTGATTGCATGTATGAGGACCACCTCCACCAGCCTGCCCCATCACCTGATTCCATAAAGCAATTGGTCCATTTATTTCAAAGACTTGTAGACAAGCAAGGATTTGATCTGGCTAGAGATATGGCCTACTCTAAAGACTTTTATTTTAAAAAACTTACCACACATGTAGCATAAAAACCATTTGTAACATTGACTATGAAGATGTTATTAGTGTTAAAATTACCATTGTCATCTGATCATAATGAAGTAGGTCACAAAGTAGATGTGATGTTCACCATGTTAGGCAGAACTGACAGTTATGTTTTCTGAGACTCATTTTAGGCAGTTTTACGTATTGTGTACTGATGATATGTAGAATAAAGCACCTTTCCTACTATAAATAATTACAGGTATTTTTTTTTAATTTTCAACTACATGAGAGAATAATTAGTGATGACAGAATAAATCTGTGGAAATGTTGATTACATATCATTCACTTAAAATAATCTAGGAAGTTTCATAAAAAATGGATTGTATGTAAAATTTTGTTTTTAAGTTAGGTTTAAGAAAATGTTTGGGAGTCATTTTCTTCCAGCAGTAGAGCCCGCCTAAGCCTTAGTGCAGCTGAACTAGTGTGCTTGGAAGAAAAGGCGCAGGGCTCCAGGAAGCCAGCTGAGCTCCTCACCTCTTTTTGCCTTCTAGTTAGTTGTTTTGTTTCTTAATACTTTTCACCTTTAAAAAAATTTTTTTTAAGATTTATTTATTTATGTATACAGAACCGGGGTACAGGCCAGAGGTGCAAGGGCGGTGAAAAGCTTCACCAGAGACTGAGTGGGGAGCAGAACAAGCAAATGGACTGAAATTCACTGCTGAGGGGAGCAGCGGGCCGGTCAGGAGAGGTCTGTCGAGCCGTGTGGGTCAGCTCGGGCGGGGAGGGAACTCACATGAAGCCATGCGGCCGGCTGCAGTGCTGCGCCTCAGCACTCTGCGCCACCATGGAGGGCCCCTTTTCACCCTTGTCAGCGCACAGCATCCATCTGCTGCTGCCCTGCTCCTCCATCGGATGGCTCTAGCAAACGTCTGGGAAATTCCCCTTTTCCCAAATCCAGTGAATGTTTTCGGGGTAGTTAATTTTGTCCTTTGAACCCTTTCACCACTCCCTTGGCATCTTCCCATTTCTTTTTTTTTTTTTTTTTTAAAGATTTATTTGTGCATACAGAACTGGGGTACAGGCCAGAGGCTCAGGGGCGGTGAGAGGCTTCACCAGAGACAGAGAGGGGAACAGAACAGGCAGATCGACGAAGTACACTGCTGAGGGGAGCAGCGGGCGGGTCAGGAGAGGTCTGCCACACCATGTGGTCACCTCCGGGGCAGGCGGGAATCGAACTCATGCGGAAGCGGCTTTAGATTCTCAGTGCTGTGCTTTAACCCACTGCGCCACCAGGGAGGGCCGGCATCTTCCCATTTCTGTAGTTTCTGTGATGCCATGCTCTCTGGTTTCCTTTCTGTACCCCTCCCCCTTATCTCCATGTGGTTTTTCAAGATTCAGGCCAAATGTTGCCAACCTGACGGAGCCATTCTTCATTTAGATTTGACCCCTTCTTCTTGTGTCCCTACTGTTTGTTAAATCTTATTTAAAATGACTAATGAATTGTCACCTTCCCATCTCTCCATACTCTCCCTCCATCTCTCAAATTGTGATCAAAATGGGAAAGAGACTTTGAAAGCAAAAGAGGTTTTAGCAGATTTAACAGGCTTCTGGAGGAAGTATAGACTCCAGCTTTGTTTTACCCTAGTTGGTTATTCAGGATCCTAAGAGAAGTTCCAGGATAAGTAAGGAATGTGCCATGTATTTCCTAGATTAAAAGGGGTTAAATATAGGTATGTATTGATCTCAGGAGGAAGTCTTAGATGCATTTAGTGAGGTTGGTGGACATTTGTTAGACTATGACTTTTGACATTGGATGGTCAGAAAAGTGAGCTAAAAATATATTCGAAGGTCAGCTGCCTGGTTTTTCATAGAGGAAAGCCAGGGGTGATTATCTGACTTCGTAACAAGACTACTTACCTGTTTAAGCACAGGGACTTGCCAGTAACCACAGTTCTAGCAGCACCCTGGGTTCCGTCATCTCCCAGGTCAGGTCCCTGTGTCTCCTCTGAACTGCAGGCCAGAGTCCACAGCACAGACAAGATGATGTCAGCTTTCTGTTCTTCCAAGTTTCCCAGTTATGATTGGGAAATATAAAGTTGTGCCTTTATATATCTCTAACACAAGAAAAGACTTATGTTTGATCATGCCTGGAAAAATATGAACAACATTCTGGGAAAAACAACAAATTCTCTAAACTGAATAAAGAAAAGGCTATAAAATCCAGGGATACCAGTTGCCTTGTTCAAATGAGATTTCTGTATCTTACCAATTAGCTTCTTTTCTGTCCTCTGCAGAACTAAAATGAGCAAAATATCTCCTTGTGGAACTATTAACCTCAGCTGGGGTCATCTGAAAATGGGCATGAGATTCTTTTGTACCTTTGGTATGTCAGATAAGTAGAGTTGAACAAGGTACTTAAACGTCATCAAATTCACAAGCTGAATACTCTTGTTGTCTTGGAGACAAGATTCCCGGTTTTCCTGATTTGACTTTACTGATTCAACAGACGTCTTTGCAGAGTGCTCAGAGTTGTCAGGTGTGTACATGACCCTGAAGCTAAAAGGTGCAGAAAGTGTGACCTGGTGGGATAGCAGCTCTGAAAGCTCGGAGAGAGGGAGTGGCCTCACCCTATACACTCCTCCTTCCTGTCTCCTTACCACCCAGAGACAAGCAGCTAAAGATATCATCAGTCCCTCATCATTTCGTCATCTTTCCTCAGTGTGAGATCTGAGGAAGGCACAAGTAAACACGTTTGTGCCTAAGCGTGTCCGTGTTGGTAAAAAGGGAGCAGCTGGCCTTTGCTTTCACACAGAGTAACTGTTCGCTAGTCAGTGGTGCTCCGACACGTGTCCGCCTCTGCACAAGAGGATTATCCATGCCTTCTCCTATCTGGGGAGACAGAGTACAAGTTCCCTGAGAGCTTGAGAGCTGGTCCCCCCTAATGTCTCCGCTTATCACTGGAGAGGGAGGAAAGAGCTGCAGGTGTAATCATTGCCACCCAGCGTGACAAAGGTATGGTGGCGCAACTCATGTCAGCATAGCCTGGGAGAAAGTGGGCAGAGTTCTGAAGGGCCAATTGTTGTTTGCTCTAAATTATTCCTACTACAGTTAGAGTTCATGCCTCCTGGTACACTGTCCTTTCCAGCTTAACCCTGGGTAAGATATTGGGCTTTGTAGATGTCAGGGATTTTTAAAACAGCTTAGCAATGTCTAGATGAGTTGGCTGTGTTAAGTGTAATCGGGGAGAAGACACCTTCTACCTCTTCATTTCCCCAGCTGGCCGTTTTCTGCCAGGCCTAAACAATCCCTTGTGCCAATTCCCTAATCCACCAGTGAGTGGAAGGACCGGATCAAATGTTTCACCCATCTTTTTTTGTTTGTTTTGTTTTCCCCAGATGTTTAAGTTGTATATCAGAATTGATAAATGTTTGCCTGAATCAGGAATAGTTGTACCTTAACTGTATCTTGGCTAGTCTGAAAAACAGCACTACCTTCGGTGATGTTGGCAAAGATAGGATCGCAAAATATGGACAGTTATGCCATTTCTGTGACCAATTGGGCACCTGTTACTGGTCAGTGGGAGAAACAGTAAATAGCCACTGTGCGCTTTCTGTGTTTTTGGATTTCTTAATGCATAAAGGCATTCTTAGGAGAATGTGCCAGAGGGAATTTGTACTTTAGAAAGTCAACAGATTTCAGTAAGAGATAGTGTCTTTGCCGGTTTATTTGGGGATTTACATCACCTATTATCTCATTCTCTTTTCTACAAATAATTGCACCCAGAGAATAAATAGTGAATTAACCAGAATCATACCAGTGACTCAGCCAGGCTGGCAGAACAGTAACATAATATTGCCATCCGTTTTATCCTGACCCTGTGGGAACCTGGGACTTCTGTAAGGCTTAGTTCATACTCAGCTTCAAATTGAGCATTCTTTCATGTATAAATTTGTTTCCTTTTTACATAGTAACTGTA